GACAACCTCTTATAAATATAGCTTAATTAAAGCAATGATATAACTCAAGTATAGTGCTGTACAACCCCTATGATGCATATTTTAGTCAATAACCACTACTAAATAAAGACCCACCTATACAACTTACCACCAGGTTTTATAATTATGATACTGAACTAAATTGGCCTAGATATATAAAAGCTTTCTTTAGCTATAACATAACTGCTACTGCAGTTTAATACTAGATGTTATATTACTACCGTAGCCGTAGGGCCTAATTACTAAAGTCCTTGCACTGCTACTGCAGTCTCAAAGCCTAATCACTACAAAATCTTTGTATTACTGCAGCCTTAGAGCATTTAGTTTATGTGAAATTTATGAAAAAGACTATTAAGAAATATAATAACAGTTCCGAATATAAATAATATTATGAAATCGTTATAATAGGTAGTATATTAGAATAACTGAAAAAAGAAATGATTTTAGAAGTGTGTTAGGGAAGTGTAGTAAATAGTGATGGAAAAGAAATGGTTTTAAAAAAAGGGTAGTTGTCGGGGATGTAGTAATTGTTGGGGAAGTGATTGTCAAATACATGTAAATAGTTGTATCAGGGATAGGAGGAAGTAATTTTTAGATAATTAGTCATTAGGTAAGTAGTTTGTCAAGAGGGGTTTGTTTGAGAAATGGCTGTTGGGAAATGGGTTATTGGAGAAACAGTAGTTGCCAAAAATTAGTGGTGAGCAAACTTAATTATATATCAAACCCGAACATATTTAAAAACATTTGAGCCAAATCCAAACCAAACTCAAAGTCATGTTTAAGCCTGATTCGGGTTTAAGTATTGTGAGTTTAGGTTTGATTTTGGTTTGAAGATCATCAAAATTTTAAGTTTAAATTCAGGTTTGAGTTTGGGTTTGACCAAACTCGAACCAAACCTGAATCAAATATCGAAGCCCTAGATAGGTTTAACTAAGACTCATACTCAAGACTAAAAAATATTTTTGAGCACAAGCCTGGCCCAGAAAAAAAAAAGTCCAAGATAGTGGGCTAGGTTTATTTTTTAATTAGGCCTATCCCAAGCTTGGTCCAAACACAGACCTAAATTTAGTACCTTATAAAATAGGTTCTGATTACAGCTATTTTCATAAATTTTGAAAAATCTAGCAAAGTTAACAGACTGAATATTTTGCTGATTCAATAAGCTTTGATAAACTTTTAATTTGAATATAATTACATCTGAATCAAAAGTTTATCACTGCTAAATTAATACTTATCGAATTGGCAAATATTTGGTCAGCCAACTTTTTCTAAATTTTTCAAAATTTATAAGAACAGCTATAAACCAGAATAAATATATTTATACTAATCATGCCGAAATTAATAACTTATCGAAATGCAAATAATTATTCAGTTAGATATTCTAAAATTAGTAAAAACTATATATAATTTAGTAAAATTAAGAACTAAATACTCAGATTTGGTGACCAAATTTTAGCTTACTGCTATTATCATAATTTTTGAAGCATTTGATAAAAATTAGCCGAATGATGTTTTGGCCAACCGGTTAAATTATTATTTCGGCATAATAATAATAGTGATAGATTTAATAAAATTATAAAATTGTACGTGACTTTTATATTATAGCTATTTTCATAATTTCTGGAACACCTGATAAAAATTAACCAAATGATACTCTGATCGATTCGATTAAGTTATTAATTTTAGCATAATCAGTATATTACATTGTAATTTGAAAGATATATGTTTTCGCACAAACTAAATATACTAAAAATGTTAAAAATTTAATAATATTAAACATGTCGATATTTACAATATTAAAATTATCTGTAGAACAAGTATTATATCTTTTATATATAGTATAGAAATTTGTGTAAGTTTTAACGCTATGTAATTTTTGCATGTAAATAATATTGGCCAAACTTTTATAGTACTAGCAAAACTTTCATAATGCAGGTGTATAATCATATGCTAATGCTTTAGTTAATATACTTTGATGAAATCATTTAATTAATCGAATTGGCTAAAGCATTATTTAATTTTTATCAGATATTCCAGGAATTATGAAAATAGCTATAAATAGTAAAATAGCGCATGAATATTGTATTAGCATTATAAAAGTTTTGCAAGCATTACTAGACTTTATAAGCCAGCTCTATAAAAGTTTGGCTATTATTCACATATTCATATAACAAAAATTACATGAAATTTTAACTTCAAAAACTTATACAAACTTATGCAAAATTATAATAATTTTTTATAAAATATGTTTTTCACCTTTGTTTGATAGCTCAAGATTTCTATGAATGTTCTTAAGATCACTCTTTAATATATTTGGATTCTATTCACCTTTTTTTTTTTTTTTTAAAAGGTTTCTAAGGCTATGTGTTTTTAATACCTGTTTTGTTTATTTATATTAGCTTGTTTTTTTTGTGGATCAATATCATATATTGCTTGACTATCTAGATGCAAAATTTGGAATTCTAAAAATGAATTTATGCATAACAGTTAATAATATTTAATGTAAAATCTATATCAAACAATTTACCACCAAGTAGTTTTCGTTCAATTAAGTATCTCTGATATAATAACACCAAGTTGTATATGTTCTTCATTTGTATGAGTACTTCTTGCAAAACTTTAGGAGTAACATAAATTAAAACTTGACTCTATACAATCTTTGTAAATTATATATTTAGAGTGAATCGATCTTTTTAGTATATTATATCAATTATACTGTGTATATCTTTCATTATAATAACTTGCTTAATCTGTAAATTCTATATCTATTAAGTTCTGTAAACTGAATATTTGCACTTAATAATATATATGATTGTACTTATCTATATTTATATTCAACTTCTCATTTATTTTTATATATATAATGTATTTATCTAACCAGGTCACTACAAATCTATTACTACTCTTCTGAATATTCTCTGATCTATTAAAAGGAATCTATTCGATTTTGTCTATATAGAATATGGCTTAAGTTAAAATTCTTCAATATAATCATTGATATCCTAATTTCTACTTATCTATCATATACTCATCTGTTGTATTGTTTTTGAGTCAGTCTAATTACTTTAATTTTACTATTTGATTGTACATTTTTTTTAAATTCTTTTAGCATGCCTTTATCGATGGGATATTGTATACTGTCTAATCATGTTGCTAAAAACTTGTTACCTTATTTCGAATTTATCTAATCTGTTGGAAGAATTCATTCGATATTTCATAAGACATAGCTTTAAGTTGATGCAATTACCGATATTCTTATTTTCTGTTCTTGTACTATTTTCTGTGATTGCATATTTGTCACCAAGCTGGTTCTGTGTTATATCAGTTACAATTCGCATATTATTTTTATATGTTTTATTATATTTTTATTGCATTTAAACACTATAAAAGAGCCAGACTAAAGTCGAATAGCGAAGAAAAAAGACACTATCAATCCCAATCTTTTCTCTTTAACTTTATATCATAACTTAACCTTCTTATCTTTCTTCGAATCTTAATTAGCAACCAGAGCATGACTATTGTTATGTATTAGATTAAAATCTTATTATTATGTGTTAAAATTTTTTATTTTACATCTTATGAACTACTGCAAATATAGAAATATTGATATGTAAATTACTAAGTATCTAATTAAATATACAGATTTGTGACATCATTTACTCTCCATATAATCAATACTTTGATTATTCTATCTCTAGAATATTAACAGGGTAAGTTTCTATGATGACAAGACTCAATTTTTTTTTTCGATATTAAGGTGACCTCTTGGTCGTCTTCTTTTATTTAGTTATTAGTTAACCTTTACTGTACGATAAGCTGCCCTTTCGGGATAGCCTATATTGTATATATATTTGGAAGATATATACTAGCTACATGTACAACTTTGATTGTCTATTTAAGTAGTCCGCTTATTACTAAGTTCTACACTAGATGTCATACCTGCAACCTGATTAGAGGTTACCTATTTAAACCTTCTGTGCCTATGGGTTAATCTATTTAACTAAATGAGAATCCAGTTTGGACCCCTTATTTTTAGATACTTAGCTTAGAACTTTAAGACAGGCTACTACTATTAGAAGCTCTTTGTCCTCAAGATAAACCTGCTAGAGCTTTTCGTACCCACAATCCAGCTAACCTAGACTTTAGTAACTTACGCTTAGTCTGAGGACAAGTACTTGTGAGCCAAAGCCACTATCATTATCTACTTCTGCCTTTGTAAAGTTTATCCAGACCCCAGTATCCACTTTACAGACTATACTATACTTTCTGAATATTCCAAACTACCAATTCAGATGCCCAAAAGGACTGTAACCTGCTTCTAATCTCCACAGTTAGATCCTTTTCCTCCGGTTATTCTCCTGGTGGCTTGGTTGGTAGAGTGCCTTGCCAAACACTTCAGTTCCATTTGGTCAATCTGCTTTTCTAACTATAATTCTTTACATAGTACCATCAAAGATCTGTATTATCTCTCTACTCAGATTTTGTCAAGCGTGTATCAATCTTCCAGTTTCTTGGATTTATTATGATCTGAGAACTTTTTCATGTAACTCGTATATTGTACAAATGCCTCATGATCTCCTAATTTTGTTGGTGCTACCAAGATTACAGAAATCTCGTTTTAATTATTCAACAGGAAATAGTAGTATCGTACAAGTAGATTTTTTGAAATTCGTCACCAGTAGGTTTCGAACCCCTACCTATCTAATATACTGCTTGAGGATGCGACAACTTAACTACTTTACTAAGTCATCATACTCTAAGCCACACTTTTTTTGTGTAAATCAAAATCAAATAAAATACAATAGTTTAACAAAAATAGAAAATTCATGCTAGTATTATTAGCTTAATATTGTATATAAATAGTTTATATTTTTAGGCATCACTATTATCAACCAATCATGGCATATAAGAGTTTACCAAGTATTATTGGGCAACATCAGGCTTGTTCAAAAAATCCAAGCCTGGCCTAGTGTTTAGTGGACCTAACCCAAGTCCAGCTTATAAAGATATTGGATCTAAAAATAAATACCCAAACCAAGTTCAAACCCAGCTCAACCTATAAGTTTTCAGATTTAGCCTGGTCTATTCTGAACCCTACTTGTAATTATATATATATATTTGCTTAGATATATTAGTTAATATAGTTAGTTGTAGAATTCTCTATATTTAGTTATATATAATTTTTAAAAATTTGATACAGGCTAATAACTATAACTATTTAGCTTTCTTTTTTTTTAATTAGTATATCTCTTTCTTCTTCTTTTCTTGATTATATATTTTATTATTCTCTTTTATATCTCTGTTTTGTTTTATATATATATTTTTTTTATTTTTACAAAAAAATATTATCAGATTAGTGATGCTTATTGTAGAACAGTAACTAGACAAGTTGTTTTAAGTTAGTAATTCACTTAGAGCAATAGTTACTTGAAGATATTTAGATAAAAAAATTTTTTTTACAAATATTAATTTTAATTATATACTAGCTCTTAGACCTGAGTAATATTTCAAGTACTCAGTTTTAATTTTTTTAGTTTTTTGTTATTTAATTTATTAGTATTTAAAGCCAATTATATAATTTTCTAGAAATATAATTTAATTTTTATATTTTTAAATATTAGCTTTTAGTCTCTAGCTTTTAGATACAGACAATATTTTAGAAATTTAGTTTTAATTTTTTTAGTTTTAAATTTAAGATTTATATATATGTACCCTAAGGTACATGTATCCTAGTCACATGTATATAATAATAATAAAAACTAACCTAGTATCACTACCAAAAAATATAATTACGTATATTTTGTAGCACAGACCAATAAGGTTTCAAAATTAGGTGTAACGTTAAATGATCAGGAAAAATCAAAACAAACGTCATTTTGCCCAAAGTCGCTCATAACTCAAAAATTCACAGAAAAAACCACCTTTAGTGCACTAGCAAAAATTTCCTTGAGCGATTTTACTACTATACTTCTGTTAACGCCTAACTGGAGTATAACACTAACACAAATCTCAAGAATTTTATCGTCATCACGTGACTGCATTGTTTGGTGTCGATACTGGGGAAGATAATATAGAGAAGATATACTGACACAGCACATATGTGACTAATTCTGCATACCCCAATACTAAACTTAACTATAATGCTGGCCACGCTGTATCAATTAGTTTAATTCTGGCCATTTTGCTATACATTAAAGCACATATATGCTATGCCCCAAAATATAAAAAATGGCAGTCTAAACCTGTCTTGTAGTATTAATAAAAAATGTGAGAAGGTAATTATACCTATATACCTACCCTAACCTCTAACACAAAACTAACCTTTAATTAAAAAACGGCAAAATCACATAGATACCTTGCTTTAGTGATCCCCTTATTTAATTAATAACTGAGATATAAAAAATCCGTAACTCGAACGATGGCACATGACAGAATAGTTAGATAAATTAAAGTTGTTAGGAAAAATGATTTTATTAAACTTATTTAGGCTTTTCGCCTAAAATAAATTGAACATCATATTTTAAAATAACTACACTAAAAGTAATACAATGTATCTTATATAAAGTGCATCTAAAATATCCTATAATGTTATACAAAATAAAAGTTCACGTTGCCCGGGCCGATAGTGATAATATCATCATTCCTGAGGCAACTTATAAAAAAGTTAGCCAAATGACTTTTTTGCTGATTCAACAAGTTTGATTTCAGCATGTGATTACTAATCAATTTGTGAATTGAAACATATGCAAAATATATAAAACATTACAAGGCTTTCAACAGCCTCTACTTTCATATCTTAACCAAGCTCTATTTTTGATTGTAACGCATATAAATATCATTTAGGCTTTTCTTCCATTAAAATCTTAAGGTATTTTATATCATTCAAGCTTAGTAGATGTAGTTTTCTGAAGTCTTTCAACACACCCAAATTTTTGAAATCGTTTGAGAACTCAACTTATTGAAGACCTGTTAACACCTAAGTGATTAGCAATTGTTGAACTGCTAGCCTTTCTAAATTTTTTTTGGTTATTTGTTATTATCGTCACTGCTGCACTGTAAATAGAGTCGTTTAAAGCCTTCTAGTATTTTACATATTTTACGTATATTTTAACTTATAAATCAACTAAAACCCATGTACAGTCATTCAGAATAATGATAACAACTGTAAGCAATATAAGAGTTTTTGGCCGTTCAACGTGCTAAATTGGTCGTGGTTAAAAAAAAAGATTTAGTTAGTGACAGTGTTAATAGAAGAAAGAAACAGAACTAACATGAAAGTCGCTTACCGAAGAACCAACCCAACTCGTAAATATAATCATTCTTTGAATAAGCCTATTGTTGGCTTCATGATCGTATAAACCCTGGAAAATTGTGTTCACAAATCAAAGAATATCAGTACAAATAATATAAATGACACCACCCAAAAGAAAAAAACGAGACCCAGAATGGCGATATGCAAAATGCACAAAAATTCCCAAAATCACAACAGCGATACCACAAAACAACAATACACATTCTAGCAGCAAGACAATAAGTTTACAGACCAAAAAGCGATGATGCGAATTTAGCAATACACATTCTAGCAGCAAGACAACAAGTCTACGATACCAAGAACGACGACTCCAACGGCACCAAAGCGAAACGACAACACCGACGACACCAAAAAGTGACGATGCAAATTCAGAAGCGGCACTAAAATGACGAGCCAAGTTTCTATTCGACTAGAAAAAAAATTATATTAGTACGGGCTAAAACAAAACAAAAAAACCAATTAAAAAAAAAAATCACTGTTTATATACTCTGTGATCAGGTATGCATTATATTGTTATACGGTGCTATGTCGAGTACAAAAAATTTTAGTATATCCTTAGGGTATATATATATTAATTCTTAAATTTATATTATAAATATTAATTTAGATATATAGTATTAAAATTTTTAACTTGTATTATTTTAATATAATATATATTGATAAAAATAGTTTGTTTATAAAAAGTATTTATTAAAAGCATTTATTAATATAAAAAATTGAAATATAATTATAATAACCTGAGGTGATAATCACCCCAGTATATCCGATCCAGTCTTGTGTAACATCTACGTTCCAACGAACTATGCATCATATAATCGATCATAAAATTCCGATCAAGTTCACTTTTTTTTCTTTATCACGCTTTTTTATTAGTGTTTTTTCATTATCGTGCTTTTTTTCATCACTGTGCTTTTTTTTGTTACTGTATTTTTTTTTCATTATAGACGTTAACACGTTTTCTCTAGTTACTGCGCTTTTTTTCTTATTACCGTGCTTTTTATTACCGCAGGATTTTTTTTTTTTTACTGCTTTTAGCGACGAACATATTAAAAAACTATTCTCTACGTTTTCACGCTTGTTATTATT